ATGTGCTTGTCAAGATATTACCACGATCTGCACCCGAACCCCTGCACTCCCAAACCCCTGCACTCCCAAACCCCTGGCACTCCCAAACCCGCTTGCACACCAAACCCCTGCACTCCCAAACCCCTGCAACTCCCAAAACCCCTGCACCACCCAAACCCCTGCCACTGTTCCAAAACCCCTGCAACTCCCAAACCCCCTTGCACTCCCAAACCCTGCAACTCCCAAACCCCTTGCACTCCCAAACCCCTGCACACCCAAAACCCCTGCACTCCCAAACCCCTGCTGCACTCCCAAACCCCGTTGCCACTCCCAAACCCCCTGCACACCAACCCCTGCCACACCCAATACCGGCTCACATGGACGCAGCATACCTCTTGAAACCCTACCAGCTTCCCAAACCCCTTGCACTCCCAAAACCCCTGCACTTCCCCAAACCCAGCTCCTCGCAGCTCTCCAAACCTGCACTCCCAAACCCCTGCACAGACCCAAACCCTCTGAGCGCCACTCCGCCAAACCCACGCAATCGTGCACTCCCAACCCCTGCACTTCCCAAACCTCCCTGCACTCTCCTCGAAAACAGCCTGCGATCTATCCTCCCAACTCCCTCTGTCTCCACTACCGCAAGAACCCTGCAATTCCCAAAACCCTTTGCACTCCCAATACCCTGCGGCACTAACCAAATCCCTTGCACTCCCAAACCCCTGCCACACGCCAAAGCGCCCTGCACTCCCAAAATCCCTTCGACTTTACCCAAAATCCTCCCGATATCCACTTGCCTCAAATCCCTGCACTCCCAAACCCCACTTTGCCACTCCCCAAACCCCCTGCACTCCCAAACCCCTGCACTTCCCAAACCCTGCCACACCCAAACCCCTGCACTCACACCTAAACTGCACTCTCCGCTCCCATAACCCCTGCCCACTTTCCACATTCGCCGACCTTGACACAAGATCCCAAACCCCTGCACTCCCAAAACCCCTGCACTTCCCAAAACCGCTTAACTCTATCGTCCCCAAACCCCTGCCCTTGACTCAGTCTAGGTCCAAACACCAGCCTGCACACCCCAAACCGCCTGCACTCCCATAACCCCCTGCCACTGTCCCAAACCCCTGCACTTCCCAAACTCCCTGGCACTCCCTATATACTCCCTGCTCACACCCAAACATCTGCACACTTCGCAGCCAAACCCGCTGCACCCCAAAACCCCTGCAACTCCGCTAAATTCCTTCACTTCCAAATTCCCTTTCACTTCCAAATCCCCGTAGCCTCCTTCGCTTAGAAAATCCGCCGTAAGCCACTCCCAAAACATGACGGTTGGCACTCTTCTCAGAACACCCTGCCCGGCACTCCCAGAAACCCCTGCACACACCACCTAAAATACAGCCCCTTTGCCACTTCACCATAACCCCTGCGCTACAGACGGGCGCAATAACTCCTCCCTGCCTGAGCTCCCAAATCGCCGTTACATCTTTTAATCTCTCACAAATCCCTTCACTTCCAAATCCCGCACTCCCAATCCCTGCACTCCCAAACCCCTGCACATCCGAGTACCCGCTGCACACTCCCCACGACCCGCTGGCACTCCCAATAACCCTGCACTCCCAAACCCTGCCACTCCCCAAACCCCTGCACTTCCCAAACCATGTGTCAAATCCCCAAGACCCTGCTAGTCACTCCCAACTAACCCCCTGCCACGTCGCTCGAAATGCCCTGCACTCCATTTCCCAGTTGGCTGCCCTCAAATATTCCCCTGCCACTCACTCAAAACCCCTTGCAGCTCCCAACCCCTGCACATCTCCCAAATCCCCTGCACTCTCCTCAAATCCCTGCACTCCCAAAACCCCTCGCCACTTCCCTCTAGCCCTCTGCACTCCCAAATCCCTTGCTTAATCCCATATCCCTCCAAACCCCTGCACTCCCAACATCCCTGCACTTTGACCCAAACCCTCGTGCACTCCCTAATATCCCACCCATGCAGCTCCACACGCCTCCTATATATACACCAACCCCCTACTGCACTTGCTCCAAAAACATACCCCCCGCTTGCACTCCTCCACAAAAACCCCTGCACTCCCAACCCCTAGCACTATTCCACAAAACCACGTGCAACTGTCGCTCTCCCCCATAACTCTCCTTCGAACTCCCACAACAGATTCCCCATGCGACTCCTCCAAACCCCCTTGGCGAGCGTGCCCTGAGATCCCTGGCGCAATACGTCCCAACACCCCTGCTCAGGCTCCCAATCCCTGCTCGTCTGTTCTTTTTCCAAATTCATTTGCACTCCCAAGACAGAATCCGTCACTGGGCACTCCCCAAAACCCCCTGCACTTCTTAAGGGCCATAAGCTCACACTGTCTCACTCCCAAACCCTCTCGCTCAAACTACCCATAAACCCCCTTGACCTAACTCTCCCCAAAACCCCTGGGACTAACTTCACTCACACACTCTTGCGGCCATGCCACTCCCACAACACCCTCAACTCCCAAACCCCTGCACTCCCAAAAACCCGTGCAACTCCAGAAACTCCTGCCCGCCAAAACATGCAATAAAATTCCCAGTGTGCTACCAATGTGGCTCCTATATTGATACGTTTCAAACACACAGAACTAGGTTTCATCCTTAAAAATACTTGCGCTCTCTCGGCCAGTTTGCCCATACTCTAACCAAGAAACATATAGTAGAAAGTCTGTCCATCTCCCACACACAACTGACACCACCACTCCGAGTGGTGGCAAACCCCTCTCTCCCTCTCTTCCTCTCGTCTTCTCTCCACTTCCCTCTCTCTCTCTCTCTCTCTACTACATCTTCATCTCCTCTCCTCCTCTCTCACCTCTCCACTCTCACTCTCAACTCTCTCACGTGTGTCCACTCCACTTCCCTCACCCTCTCAACTCCACTCTACCTCACTCTCATTCCTCTCCTCTCAATCTCTCTCTCTCTCGCTCCTCTTTCTTTTTTCTCACCTCTCCACTCTCATCTGTTCTCTCTCTCTCTACTCTCCTCTCTCTCTCTCTCTCTCTCTCTCTCTTCTCTCTCTCTCTTTCTCTCTCTCTCTCTCTCTCTCTCTCTTCTTCTCTCTCTTTCTCTCTCTCTCTTCTAGCGTGCATCTCTCTCTTCGGTCTCTCTCTCTCTCTCTCTCTCTTTCTCTCCTTACCCCCCCCTCTCTCTCTCTCTCCCCTCCCTCTCTCTCTCTCCCTCCCTCCCCTTCTCTCTCCCTTCCTCTCCCTCCCTCCCTTCTCTCTACATCTCTCTCTCTCTCTCTCTCTCTCTCTTCTCTTCTCTCGCCTCTCTCTCTCTCTCGCCCTCTCCCTCTCTCCTCGCCACCTCCCCCCTCTCCACCTCTCCTTTATAATCTAACTCTCTCCCCTCCCTCCCTCCCCCCCCTCTTTCTCTCTTCTCTCTTCTCTCTTCTCTTGCAACTCTGTCTTCTCTCCCCTATGCTACTCTTCTCTCTTCTACTCTTCTCTCTTCTCTCTTCTCTCTCTCTCTCTCTCTCCTCCTCTCTCTCTCTCTCTCTCTTCTCTCCTCCCCTCTTCTCTCTCCTCCTCTACTTTCTAACTCTCCCCTAACCTCTCTCTCTCCCTCCTCCCTTCTTCCTTCGTCCTCCCTAACCTCCTCTCTCTCTCTCTCTACCAATCCCGCCCCTTGCTCTCTCTCCCCTCACCCTTCCCCCTCTCTCTCCACCTCACCTCTCCTCCCTCCCTACCCCTCCCTCCCTCCCGCTCCCCTCCCTTCCGCTCCCCTCCCTCCTCTCTCTTCATACTCTCTCCTGCTCTCTCTCTCTCTCTACTCTCTCTCTCTCTCTCTCTCATCATCTCTCTACTCTCTCTCTCTCTCTCTCTCTCTCTCTCCTCTGCTCCCATTCCCCTCTCCTTCTCTCCCTACTACCCCTCTCCTCTCCCTCCTCTCTCCCTCTCCCTCTCTCTCCCTCTCCTCCGCCCCCCTGCTTCTCTCTCTCAACCTTCTATCCCTCTCAACCCCATTTCACAATCTTCTTCGCTCCTCATCTTAGCTTCATTTTCTATCAACATGGTTTCCCAGTTGTCCCTCCTTTCGCCTCGCACAACTCGCTCCCCGCCGACCCCTGACGCCCACAACCGAGTGCCCTGACTGCCCCAGCCTCCAATCACGTGCCCCACGTAGACAAAACACCAGACATGATTCATTTTCCAAGGGCATCTTCGTAGTCCCACCCCGCCTTCCTACATGGTCCCTCTCGAGAGCCTTTTATTACCCAAGCCACCCTGCTACTGCATCCGAATTAAAAACTTTAGCCCCAATGTCGATTTATCTGTCGGGCCCGCAATTTTTCCCGGCCACAAAGGTTCACTATTATCCAAAATTTAAATATTCTAGAACGATCCTTTTATGTGAGTGCAGTTGAGGCCCAAACTATGCGCGCTACTGAGAAAGCACGAAAAAAAACATAAAGCCTCCTTAAAATGCGGATCAGTAGTCGCTGGAACTCCCAAAACTTCCGCGCAACTCATTGAACGACCTATTAAAATAGCTTTATGTTCACCACTGGTCAACCGTATCTCCCATAATGTTTCTCTACATTACGACATCAAAAACCAAGCGCAGGCTATACTATATCTCCAAATACAACGCCGCAGCTCTTTTCCAAACTTGTAAAATAAACGCCAACGGAAGAAACACTTTTCACTCTCGCAAGAATTAAGCACCGACAGCAAACTCACCTGCAAAGCTGGGCACCACTCAACATGCCGCCCCTCTGCCGCAATGTCCAACTCCCAAACCATTATCAATCCCGCATGTCCGATGTGGTTGCCAAGCTCTGACGGTCTTCCGCGGCGGCAGCTCCCAAAACGAGAGCACAAAAGTCCGGCGAATGCATTGTTTTCTGCGAGAAGCGGATAGCCCATATTGGCCACCGGCGAAAACCGAACACAACAAAATGTGATTCTCACTGCTACGTTTCCCATTAAGACAATGATTATAGGAAAAGGAATGTTGCTTCCTATCGTTTCTCACTGACCACATAAGCCTCCCAATAATCGCATATAAAATATATAAACATTGCCTGCCTGCACCGTTCAAACCCTCTCGAAGCTGAGCTCACTGCCAATGATTGTATTGCATGTGTTTGCTAACACTTTATTCTCCATCTTAAATACGCCATTCGGGTGGGAAATATGTAAAGAAAAAAAAAAAAAAAACGCGCGCGCACGCAAAAACGCACAAATAACCAAACACTTCGTTATTTTCATTTGAGCTTTATTTTCAATTCTTTCCACTTTCCCCTAGTCTGCATCTCATTATATAGGTACCTCGTGGGAATATCAAATACAAAATCTATAATAAGTTTCATTCATGATTGCTATTATTTCAAAAGGAATGCGGTTCAAACAAAGTAATGTTTTCCACGTTCTCTGACACGAAAAAATTACCCAAGATCACAATTTTATATTACTGATATAATAGCCATATAGTCGGCTTTTTCCACGAGTGTTGCGTCTCATCTCTCATTTTTCTGACGCTCGACCTTTGCCTCTCATGTCGACATAGTGACGGGCGCGCCTCCCGAGCCCTGCCGCCTTCATTTGCTCAAGTTTTAGAGACCGGGTACTTTTCCCTCCTAATTGCGAATCATTAGTCTATCCAGGAAGGATTCCCAGCAAGATCTATTCAGATTGTCTCCTGCGTGCCCACCAGTGGCACAATCCGCCTTGAAAGCATCCAGGTGCACTTTTATTTCAGTGCGACTGAGACGCCAAGGAAAGAATCGGCTCAACAGAAGCCAACCGCAGCTGCCTCGCGGGCAAGCAGGCGGGAGGCTTGTCAGCTTTCCAAAGTCAGATCTGCCGCCGTCTCGGGCACATAATAGCACAACGAAATGAAGAGCCTGAAGCTGTCGTGAGGAGGAGCACCTTAGGTCAGCGGGCTGCAG